GCCATTTTGCGAGTAGAGTTGAATTTGAAGCGAGTGAATTGGCTCTAACGTTAATAAAATGGTTTAAATACTAGTAAGTTAAGTGAATGATTTTTCCCTGTAGGTTAATAAGTTCAATAGTGAGTTTCGAAAAAATTTTCGAATTATAAAAACGAATTGGAAGTTAGTAAATTGATTCCTTTACATGTAAATAAAGTACATGTCAGCCAATTTCGCATTTCGGAGAGCACGATGCATTGGAAGATGTTTTGGTTATTGCATCACAATAAAGTCATTTCTCCTTCCACTAACATCATTTTTGGTACCAAATGGTTGTACGAGTTGTAGATCATCTTTCAAAATATTACGATTAAATATTAAAATATTACTATTATTAAAAAAATTTAATATAATGAGGGTCTAACCTGGACATAGTTTAAGTTACGTAATAAACAGTAAGCCCTAAGGTTCAGGGCACTCCGATCGTATGCAGAAAATATACTGGGCAAGGAATGACCTTCAAAGCTAAATTAATCGACGTATTGAGGCCAAATCACAGATAAGTTTTTTGAGCAAGTGGACTGAAACTGATGCGTAAATTATCACATTTATGCGGCCCAAGTTTGAATTTTCTGAAAGTATATTTGTTTTATGATGGCCGAAAGCTAGGACTTGGGAGTGAAATTAAGTTAAGGAGCATGTGCAGTCAAAATGCGAAATTGGCTTATCATCATTGTTCAATCAGCAGTCATAGATATTTGCATTCACAATTAAATAAAAACGGTACATTAGAAACGTCTACTAGCTGTCACTATCACTGCCACAAGCAACACATTTCCTATCTTTGTCATTTAAATGTCTAGTTGCAAATACTTCGAACATTGAACTACCTATTTCTAAAAACGAACTCAATGAAAAACTACTCTGGATTCGATTAACAACATGCAAATGGTAACAAGACAGTTTCACGTTAACGTAGTGCATCATTGCAATAACAGTCCTGGCTTCTACAATTTCATGCACTCACGCCTCTCGTCAGCTTGATGTGTCTATATCTGCACAAATGTCCTTTTACACGATTTGGTGGCTCATTGCCGGTGTGTGCTGATCCATGGGTGTGGCAGTGTTACGCAGCTTCTCAGCAGAAGTGAGTTTGAAGTCCTGGTTCCTGGTTCCTTGTTCCTTGTCTCGGTTCCTTGTTCCGGTTCCGTCCTGGTTCCTTGTTCTGTAACAACAGTAAAGACAAAGTGAAATTAATAAGTGGGAGATTATTAATACGTAAGTATAGGTGATTAAGTTAATGAGCAACCTGTTAGGAGGCATTATAACAGATCATATCAGTCAACTCATTTATGGATATTTCATATAATTTACATTTCTATTAGGACTGTCATTGATACCAACGTACGACATCGATATATATCGATATCGAAAAAAATTCCAGAATAGCGATCCGATACAATAAAATAGTATTAGTAAAAAACAGTTTTGCTGTAGTGTTGTTACCTTACACCTCATAGGTTATTCTGCTGAAATATGAAAGGGTATTGTTCTCTACTGCAGGTTTGTTTTTAACAAGAAGGAGAGTTTGGTGCCTGACAATGCCAACATATTAGTTTCTCTTTACACTATAACTATTTATATTACACGAATCGGATCGAAATATTTTCATATCAATGACAGCTCTAACTTCTTATGTCTGATCTCAACTATAACAGTTCAGACAGACCAAATAAATTTATTAAAACCATAAAATATAAAATTTTGATAATGACAAAAAACTCCCTTACTCCCTCTCCATCCACTCTGTCTCTCTCTCTCTCTCTCTCTCTCTCTCTCTCTCTGTCTCTCTCTCTATCTCGACACACACACACACATGCATGAATGCACGCACGCATACATGCACACACGCACACATATATGTATACACCCACTATTCCTCACCCTCTCTCAAACACTCTCACTATATGCTGCTCTGCTCTATATATTTACTCTGTTACGTGCCCACAAGACACGCTCTTCCCTAAGACATGGACATGAACTACTCACTGTGTATTGCTGGTCGAAATGATAAGCATGCATGGTGTTTAAATCTTGCTCCAATCCCAGCCTCATGACTCAACACTCTGCACCAATTATCCCTTTTCCATCTGAAAACAGATACCTTCAAAGTGACAGAACACGTATAGAGTTGGTTGAAATTGGTGAAAATTGTTAAGTTTGGTTCTGCCAACCACATGTCTTATATTGATCATTGAATTTGACACAAGCACGATTATATCTATATATTGCAACTGACTGAATGAGATTTGCTTGTGCTGTAATATCTAAAAAACAAAACAAGTTACCTATGATCAGACATTCCTCTTTTGCTTCCTCTTCATTGTAGAAGTCATCATCTTGGTCGTTGCCCACATCGTCATCATAGTCTATTTCTTCTTCTTCTTTTTCTTCTTCGTTGTCGTTCTCGTCGTCAGCGGCGTATCCTTCTTCATTTTCATTTTCTTCTGCTTTTTGTTAATCTTCTTCTTCTTCTTCTTCTTCTTCTTCTTCTTCTCCATCTTCCTTGGGTCACTAGCAGATATTTAGCTGGAGAAAGAGATTTACCTTCTTTGATGTGGATTATCTAGTAGAGCAGCACTCATTTAGCTATGTTTCTCCTTCACTCCAATATTGTTATGTTCAATGCTGTGTTCAGTCCATCTCCACTATATTAGACATCTTCACCGTATAAACCCTGGCACGGGAGGCTAAACAGGTGCTATGCCTTGCCTAAGGACAACCTGCAGCTAGGGAGGCAAAGGAAGCTTATCTCCTCACTAGTGACAAAGTCACTCCCTTCTCCAAGCAAACTTACTGGGATAAAATGCCTTGCTCATGGGCACAAGAGAAGTGATCAAGGTTGGACTTTTCAGCCTGAAGTCCTGAGCGCCACACACTTGGCTACTGTTCTTCCCAGGTGGTTCTTGCATGGCGATGACGCTGTCTCCATAAGTAGTTAACGTCTCGTAAGTAGTTAAAGTCCCCAGCGCGCGAATCGCGTGAGTGCGATGCCACGGGAGCGACCAACTCCCCAAAAATTTAGTCCCAAAATATGGCAGCACGTATAAGATTGTAGCTAGGTAGATATATAACCGCTATATATCACATATGTATTTATATATACACGTACACTGTATATTATATACCCTTGTAGCTAGGACATGAATATTATAATTGCGGTGAGTACAGTTGCGCGCTACGCACGCCCTACGTATCGCTAAAACCTATGCGATTGTGCCAGAGTAAACCTGCGAGCCGGACACCCCAACCCTAACTCCCACGCTCGTGGGAGGGGGGAGGTGTGATTTCCCATGCTCTGACCAGCAAAGTGTTGTCTCACCCCCCTGGCACACAAGAACGTAAAATAATCCTGACCCACCCTCTGAACTTGATTCCTAAATGGTAACTGTCGTCGGAGGCCACGCGCTGGTGATTGTCACGATGCTGCTAGCCCTATATTGAATGCTTAATGTAGGGGCGGTGCCCGCATCCGCGGCCGGTGCATCACTACCTAAGGTACAGAGTTGCTATTATATATGTATGCTTGTACGCTGCTGGCCAATCGAGCTAGCCAGATTATGTGCACGTGCTGAGAGGTAGCGGTTTGCACCCTCCATCCGTTAACATTTATTTACAAGTAAACACCAATTGGTGTTGGTCGTAGTGGAGTTGGAGATGAAGTTAGCAGCTCATCACTGGATCATCTCTTTGCTGTTTTTGTTAGTCTTTGTTGATGGATCTCAGATGGAGGGAAGCATACACTCAATGGTTGGTAAAACTAAAACGACAACTTGTAGTTTGGGTGAAAGAGGAAGCTCACCCTCTCACTATGTATGGACTTATGAAAGTCTCTCCCCTTCCATAGGATATATACATGTGTCGTACATGTCTGCATATATATCATGGAATCAGGTATCAACTTGGTTGGGTAGTCTTCGTCTGTGGGCCAGCAAGGTTGATGTGATGGTGAGTCATGAGGTTGCATGCAACTGGTATTAGAACCAAGCAATACTCTTCATTTTTCTTGACTGGTGACGAAGTTCCATCCATTGAGGTTCCCACTCTAAAGCTTGTGTTCCGGATTGGTCCAAGGTGACATTTCGACCCTGTAGTGAGTCGATAGATAGATCTGCCTCCATATGATGTAAGCTGGACAATGCTCCGATTAGTTAGCTCCGACTGCGACGAACAAGTCCCAGCACACTCCACTACTGTGTGCCCATCTCTGCTGTCTACCATTGTACTAATATGTCTCTCCAGTTGTATTCCTTATAGTAGCACCAGTCACATGTGAGATTGTCTGTACATGGTGCAGCCTGTGAATCACAGAAGTGGATTAGTAAAGAGCGTAGCTTATCGTCCCGACTTACACATGTTGCTGCCCGTTATCGCTGCTTCTCTCTCACACTCTCACTTTTATCTCTTTCATGCCCTACCTCCCTGTTCTCTAACTTTCTTTTTTCTCTGTCTCAATCTCTGCCATCTCTCTTTATTTAGTAAAAAAATGTAGTAAGTTTTCAGTTATCTTTACCCATGCAGCCCTTCACCCAGCCACAGACTGGTCAAAACTGGGCACATCCTATGACAGAGTGAAGGGCTTCAGGGGCAGGGCTAGTTTGTAGTAACATAATAGAGCTCATCTTATCCTAACACAGTCAATAGAACTTCACTCTTCAGACACACTGCGGGTTAAGGACTCTCATCTTGAATTTCCATGTGTCACCAGAGTTCAGTAACACCCACGCGTCAAACCCTAGCACACATGTCACTAGCAGCTGAATAACCTGCATTGTAGTAACTAATACGCTTATTGTTTTATTGTTTTATTTGTATTGTGTAGCGAGTACCTACATTTTTTTATTTATAGCATTAATGAGCAAATAGCCTACATTACTGTTTTACCTGAAAGATATCACGCCAGAATTTAGCAACATTTTACAAATTTGAAATCGATAATGCACGCGTGAAACATGACATTGACAAATGAACTTCGGACATCATTCACAATCTGCATTATAGTCTGTTCAACAGCTACTATGCGATGCCGCACACTACAACATTTTTCGGACAAGCAAGACTCAGTGAAACAGTCTTATCTTTATTACTTTGTAGCAATATGTTCTTTTAGACATGTTTTAGCGATAGATCGCGCAACCCTGCAGAACAGGCGGGGCGTATCAGATGATTTTGTTTATCTTCACGTGTAGGTTTGACACAACGGTTTTGGGCGACGCCGGAGAATGCCGTGACTAGATTGTGTTTCTAATAAAGTACCTATATAGAGCTCCGAAGTGATGACGTCACGGTGGCATGACAACGAACCCACTGGTTCGAAACAATCATTGGCTCCATAACATTAACTGTGTGAAAATGGTGTTGTGTTTTGTACCCGATTGTAACCATCATTCTGAGAGTCATTATTCAGTGTTCTCATTAGGAACAGGCCACCGGCCGGATTGACCGTCTACTCTGCTGTTTCGGCCGGTTACAATTGGCTCAAGTATGATATTTTATTAAGGATTAAAACAAAATTTATCTGCTAAAAAGATCGACCACGGCACATTATAATACTAGTTCGTCGGGCGCGGATACAGTATTGCGAACACGCGCGGCACCGACTGAAATGGCATGTAACCGGCCATTTCATTGGTCCAACATGCAATTTCTCTCATCCTATAAGCGCTTGTCATTAAACGCATGCAAGCAAGTACTTAGACTGGACCCCGCCGTCGGCTCCACGAGTCCCAGCGAGGCCTAAGCCGAGAGGTGGGAACGACTATGGACGGAAAGAAACAGAAACAAACTCCGAAAATTCCAGATTTCTTCTTTAAGAAAACAAAAGGCGTTTAGGATATTTTCGAATATAAGTTTGTTTTTGTTGAGTCGAGGTTAGTTCAGTGATGCATGATGTTGGTCTTCGTTGAATTTGGAGAAATGAACTGTACTGACTACTACTCACTCCATCATTGACATTGATAATGATAGACTAGCTACGCCCTTGTGTCTGATTTATAGACAAGTGGCATGAAATGTTTACTTAATTTAGATAAATGTAGCTAACGTGAAACACCAGGATACAATGTAGTAGTCACGCTACCAAATGTTTTCAGCATATAATTAAATTAGTGATGTTGCCTCCAGCTACTAACTAACTGGAATTTCGCCTGCAGGGATTTCGTGAACAGTTCTAGTTAAACCAAAGTAAATGACTATCATTTTAGTCAGTATTAAATTTAATGTTATTAATTTCTGTGTGATTTCTGTGTGAGATGTGTCTGTTTACTGCAGCTCAGAATACACCAGATTGCATCTCAGAGCATCTAGGTTTTAACAATTTCTTGAGGGGGGACCCCCAAACCCCCTGCCAGCACACCGACACGGCCTGTTTCAAAAGCATTTGGGCCCGTTGCTATAAAAGATAATGAAAACCCTGCATTATTGCAGTTTTATAGATTCCCAAAGGATGGAAGTGACAAGCAACGATGGATTAAGTTGATAAGGTATGCAGATGTTTTTTTCTAGCCATTTTGATGATGAAATCAATATTGTAAGATCGACATGCTACCGATGCTTTACCGCTGTCTGCAGTGCACACATTCGTGTTTTAAGTACGCACAACACCACTTTCACGCAGTTACTGTTACAGAGCCAATGATTGTTTAGAACCAATGGATTCGTTGTCATGCCACCGTGACATCACACTTCGGTGCTCTATAAGCCTTATGGCTTATTGAACGGTGTTGCTGCGTGGTTCCTTGTGAATTGCACCTCACTTCAAGAGAGGCAGTAACATTCGACCGCTACAACCTGATTATTGACTCTAATCTTTATTTCTGTTTCTGTTTCTGTGAAACAATGATTTTTGAAAAAAAACTAAATTTGACATGTGAGGGCTGGTAAATTATGGTGAGGGCTGGTAAAAACTGCTGTTACCAATACCAGCCCTCTGGGCCAGTGCAAAAAATATGAATTTCATGTCCTGATATAGAACAATAAATTGTGCCCTAAAAATTGTTATATTCTGATGTTATTTTAGGGCCCAATAGCCTTCCATAGACAAAACCTGTGAATTCTGTCATGCAAAATGCACGACAACCTTTTCACTATTTACGGCCGTGTTACATGGAAAAGTAAAGAAATACCTAAAGCCGTCGCTTTATTAACATCTTACCTACATTACAAAACACTTGTCATGCAGTATTCTCGATCCTCTTTAATCCCATTTATTTTATTAAAACATCATGACATAAAAATTACGCAAACTTCGCTGCACACAAAACTGCCAATCTTGCATTGAACCGCACCGGAAAACGTCACAGCGATGATTTCATTGGCCGGTGAGAAATGTTGTTGTGCGGTTCAATGCAAGATTGGCAGTTTTGTGTGTAGAGCTAAATTACTCGACGTATTGTGGCCAAATCACAGATAGGTTTTTTGAGCAAGTGGACTGAAACTGATGCGTAAATTATCACATTTATGCGGCCCGAGTTTGAATTTTCTGAAAGTATATTTGTTTTATGATGGCCGAAAGCTAGGGAGTGAAATTAAGTTAAGGAGCATGTGCAGTCAAAATGCGAAATTGGCTTATCGTCATTGTTCAATCAGCAGTCATAGATATTTGCATTCGCAATTAAATTAAAACCGTACATTAGAAACGTCTACTAGCTGTCACTATCACTGGCACGAGCAACACATTTCCTATCTTTGTCATTTAAATGTCTAGTTGCAAATACTTCGAACATTGAACTACTGATTTCTAAAAACGAACTCAATGAAAAACTACTCTGGATTCGATTAACAACATGCAGATGGTAAGAAGACAGTTTCACGTTAACGTAGTGCATCATTGCAATAACAGTCCTGGCTTCAACGATTTCATGCACTCACGCCTCTCGTCAGCTTGATGATGTGTCTATATCTGCACAAATGTCCTTTTACACAATTTGGTGGCTCATTGCCGGTGTGTGCTGATCCGTGGGTGTGGCAGTGTTACGCAGCTTCTCAGCAGAAGTGAGTTTGAAGTCCTGGTTCCTGGTTCCTTGTCCTGGTTCCTTGTTCCTTGTTCCGGTTCCTTGTCCTGGTTCCTTGTTCTGGTTCCTTCCTGGTTTCTTGTTCTGTAACAACAGTAAAGACAAGTGAAATGAATAAGTGCGAGATTATTAATACGTAAGTATAGGTGATTAAGTTAATGAGCAACCTGTTACTGTTAGGAGGCATTATAACGGATAATATCAGTCAACTCATTTATGGATATTTCATATAATTTACATTTCTATTAGGACTGTCATCGATACCAATGTACACCATCGATGTATCGCGATGAATTTGCGTGCGATATCGATATCGAAAAAAATTCCAGAATAGTGATCCGATACAATAAAATAGTATTAGTAAAAAACCGTTTTGCTGTAGTGTTGTTACCTTACACCTAATAGGTTATTCTGCTGAAATATGAGAGGGTATTGTTCTCTACTGCAGGTGGTGTTTTTAACTAGTTTGGTGCCTGACAATGCCAACATATTAGCATCTCTTTACACTATAACTATACTGTCAAGGTATAGAAGCATAGCGCTGCTTCGGAGGAGACATATTGTGACCTAACTTCCTAATATGGACTACCGACTAGTGGTGCTGTATCTTTAGTTTATAGATGAGCTAGCTTTACTGAGCTTCCTGGTGAATTGAGTAGACATTGGATTCATTCTATCTCATTCTGTTCGTTCTATTTCATTTTATTCACGTTGCAATATAAATATATAGGTTCAACTCTTTAGGTGTATTCTTTCTTTTTAGTTGCTTAAACTAGGCGTTGCATTCCTAGCAGGGAAACATTAGTCCCATGCAAGCTAGCGTCAGGTGTACTAATTTAAGTTAAAAATTACAGCAAAGGCTACCATACATGCCAGAGACATTAAGATACGGCTACCGTACCCGTAGCCACTGCCTAAATGAAACGGCCACGACTGAAACGGCGGGCATGCTGGTTTCACTGACTCTCTTCACGTAACTCTGAGGTCTAATCACTAGAGACCATGGCATTGGCATTGCCTGATCAAGTGACAAGTGCCATTAACCCGACCAGGCTGGGTGACTAACGTCAATATACACAGTTACCTAACCATAGGCATAGCAAAGACCGTTTCTTGGAGCTAAAGACGTAAACTAAAGACTGTGCCATATGCCATGGCATATGAATATATGCTAATATTATAGTAATGCTAACTTATCACTAATAACCAACTAATATCATGGGGCTAAAGAGAAAGCTTACCTCGTAACTATAGAATGACTAAAGTATCTCAATTTTTCATACCGAGTATAATACAGCTAGTAATTTGTCAAAACAATTCATACATTCACGAAGACATAAGCAAAAGGTTGAAAGCTTGTTTCGTCGCTAAAATGACGTCACAGTGTCGTCATGTCCGTACGGACTTCCGTCTTATAGATCTTTCGACATGCTGTCGACTGCTTGGTCTGCAGTTTCGCGCGTTATTTTTTGTTTATGTATAGCCTCCAATCAGAACAGCTTATCAGGCTTTGTTCTAACCAATCCGGATCAACTGGAAGACAGCTTCGCGGTTTTTCGATCTCTCCGTGTGGTAAATTCTATCTCTTATTTTATTTTATTTATTCATTCATTGACTTCATTTTAGCGACTTATTAATAGTAGTAGTATCAGGAGGTAGTATTAGACTTAATTGTTACTTAAACTGTTAACTGTTACTAGTCTATAGCTCCAAGAAACGGTATTGCTAGGGTTAGAATACCCCTGTAGGCTGTATATTGACGTTAGTCACAGTCTGGTCGGGTTACTGTTGTTAGACTGTTAGTGTTAATTAACTGTTAGTGTTAGACTTATTAGACAATTGTTAATTAGACTTAACTGTTAGACTTGTTAACTAGACTGTTAACTGTTAGACTTGTTTTTGTTAATTAGACTGTTTACTTAATTGATTCCTACTATTCAATTCAATTCAATTCAATTCAATTCAAATTCAATTCAATTCAATTCAATTTATCGGATTTCACATTTTGAAACTTTAGCGCCCATCTTCAAACAGGTTCTTATTCATAAATACTATTGATAAGTTTTAGGGTCTGGGTATTAATAAGTATGTATAATTAGTCGCATATACCAGTACGTAGTACCAGAAATTGAAACAAAGATGGAGTAGAATGGTTGTGTTTTTGTGCTGTAATCACTGTGAAATTCACCGAGTGTCGAGCGGATTGGAGTCGAGCGCTTTCCTACCTGCTATATAATATATATTAACAGTCACTGTGCACAGTGAGCAATGGTGGCGTTAGTGTGTGTGCATAGAGCATTTACACGGAATTGACAGGAAACTGTCGGCAATAATAGGTGAAAGAAACATTATTGTCATTAAGAATTTTGTAGTACTATTATTATATTTCGTATTTATTTAGCATTATATTTTATTGAAACGTTTCAAGTGCCTGTGCATGGTCTATGTCACCCGGGGTACTGCCGGAACGTACCCTGGGTACGGTCCGGTATACTGGAACGTACCCTGGTACTATCTATAATATGCCGAACCGCACCTCGCCTACTCCACTAACGAGTCTAGGTAGTTGCCTACGCCTACTCCCTAACCCTAACCCGAACCCTAATCCTAACCCTAATCCTAACCCTGACCATATCAAATAGTGACCAGGGTACGTTGACCATATCAATAGTGACCAGGGTACCGTTCTGGTATACCGCGACCGTACCCAGGGTTACGTTCCGGCAGATACCCTGGCGGGACATAGGACCCTATGACGCCACTGGCGATATATATAGGCCGCGGATAGGCTGCCGTCTTATTTCGCCGGTTGCAAATCCACTTTTAGGGCACCTTAGGTATCACGAATGATGCACAGATTTCGGGGTATCACAACTGAGCACAGCAATTTCGTATTATCAAGGAAATGATGCAAAAACCCTAACCTAACCCTGACCCTAGCTCCAAGAAACGGTTTATATTATCGCTAGGGTTGAGGAGACCTAGACAATTGCCGTATACGGTATACACAATCCGTATCGACAATCTGTATTAGACAATTCCGTCGCCACAGCCTCGGTCGGGCTAACCTAACCTAACCCTATAAGCCAACCCTAACCTAACCCTAAGCCAAACCCTAACCCTAACCCTAAACACACTTGCTGCATACCTTATTAGCTAAGGTATATACCTTTATGCCTTAGGGTTAGGGTTTCTTGCATCATTCCTTGATATACGGGAAAGTCTGCTGCATCAGTTGATATACCACAGAAATCTGTGCAATCACTTCGTGATCACATAAGGTGCCTAAAGGGGGATTTGCGGCTGCCGCAGCTATTTTATGTACTAGAGCTACCACTGGCGTAGCTCTAGTACTATGCAGTGGCAGTAATGAAGCGCGCTTTAGTATACGAGCCTACCGCTGGCGTAGTAGTAGCTCTATACTATAGCCGCTTATGGTATATTAAACTGCCGCGGCAGCTACAGTTACAGCAGCAACAGCCAACTGCAACAGCAAGCAATACAGTTACAGCTACGGCTACGAGGCTTTACAGTGCGACCGAATATTCGTCCCAATATAACCTTTTTGTATATTTTTGGTGAGGTTATATTGGACGAGAACTGGGTCATTGAAATTTCTGTCGAGATCGCATGCAAGATGATGACCGTCGCGAATGCGGCCCGTAAACGCCGCTATATTGGCGTGAAAAAACCCTACTGTATTCCCTATCTACATGGCTTTACCTGCTGAGCTGAATGTGTATACATTCACGTCAATCGTTATTCACTTTCTTAAAAGATGTTTTCAGAAGGCAAACCGCTTCGTTCCACTTTCCTAAATCGATTCACCATTACAAACAATCAGACCAATCAGGAGCGAGTCTAGCGAGCCGTCTGCGAGCGCCACAGATACAAGCCGAGAACCAGGGCGTTGTAAGACTCACTCTGATTGGCTTCTGAAGGGAACGGTAGCGTTTTTTTCACCGGCCAATAGCGGGGTGTGACAAGCGGCATTCGCAGCGCATGCAGTTTTGCCATGGCGTGACTCGACGAAATTTCAATGGCGAACCGCCAAGTTCTTGTCCCAATATGCATATATCTGTATCTATCTTAAATAATAAAAAAAGGTTTATATGGCACAGAATTAATGCGTCTACAGCTTTTATCTCTATCTATATCTCTCTGTTGTAGCTACAGCTACATTAACTGGACGCAACCGGCGTCTATATCTATTCATCTATCTCTATTCTATGAACTTATATTATATATCTATGCTTCTATTATTAGTCAATAGGTGCGTCGTTGCGTAGCTGCAGGTGGGACTTGTTCTTGACTCCAGTCTCAGCGTTTCTTATGGCACATCTATAATGCTAACAGGTTCGGACACTAACCCACGTCGACCGACCTAGTCGGGTAAATGCTTGTACGCGTCGCAACACGCAAGCCGATGTACATTGTCTCTAGCAAGAGCGTGAGCCGGGTAACCAAGTCTACCCTTCGGCAAAAACTATATGGTGCTTGTGCCCAGCCGCCAGTAGACAATCGATAAAACCTGCACCTGTGTAATGCCCACCGTATGCGCCCACAGACTGCCGTGGTAGGAGACGGAATGCTGCAGTGAACTTCGGCACTGCCCGGCAAGCTGTGATCTGTACGCCGTGTAGCGCAGCTTGCTACCAGTTACAGGGCTGCTAAAAAAAAAATTTTTCCGCTTAGCCCGTCGGGCAAAGTGGCGTTATGAAACTGGTGCTCGAAGGCAAAAAGTCACTTGCCCAAAAACAAAGAAATTACATACGTTTTCTATTATGATTTAAATGGTTTCAAAAGCCAGGTTCAAAGGTAGTCACGATACAAGAAACAGCCACACAAAATTGTCCCTTTAAGGCTCACAATGCGCATCAAACGCTAATTTCTCCAGTACAGACTAGCAAATACTTCGTGTCTGCCATTAATCATACTACCTTATGGCAAATAACTCTAGCTTCGCTCCCATTCACTGCTCGTTGTCTTAATAAAAGTATTTTGAAAATACCTCCAATGTTGTTGAAAGTTCTCCGATGTTGTTGGACAGTTTCCCCAATCCACCTAGCCAACCGCCTGCAGCGGTGCGGCGAGGCTACAGCAGCTACAGGCCGCAGCCAAAAGATAAAAACATGCTGACGTCAATACGCGCTAGTTTAGCCTACATGCAGACGCGCTACATTGATCGCAGTATCCCAAAGTATGGAAAATGTAAAATATTAAAACGATAACATCCATTGCAAGGTGGGGTTATATCTTTTTATAGTGCATCCGAAACTATATTTCTATATTATTTACAGGTGAAGGCCGACGCTACCAAAATGCCGCCAAACATATTTCCACTCCTCAGTGTTGCCAGAAATAAACAAACACCATGTCCAGCGAAATGTCCCGGCTAGAAAGTTACGGAGGAGATTTTCACAAACCCAAAGGTAGATGTTATGAAACTATAGTAATCTGTTTGAAGTGAGGTCTGCCACATCACAGCGTGTGATTTCGGTGTATTAATGTCGAGGCCGATCCATGTCTGCCATGTCAAAAGACATTTCAACGGCAAAACAGTTATTAGTATTATGACTGCTGCCAATGCCCACTGGTGAAGCAGTGCCCTAAGGCTGATTGTCCGTCGTTTGCGGGCAAGTAGACAGGTCTTGCATGGTACCATTGCTCGGACCTTTGAGTTATTTATTTTCGATTAATTATTCTACCAGGTGATAGACAAATGTTCAAGTACGGCTGAATCCAGAATGAACGCATCTTTTTTGTCTGTCTTTGTGTTGATCAGATATCGATATATTCTCGTTTATATCTCTCTATCTATTTCAAGTTGTAAATAATATTGATTTAAATGCTCAAATTTTGAGTTGTTACCACAAAGACGTTCACATTTGAACTTGAAACCGATATTGTTTTTAAGATTCAATTCACACTGAACTGAAGGTCTATCTCTCTTTTAGCACCATTTGAACTCATCCAATTGTGCAAACTGTTTACACAAAGGATTATCTTATGGATGAATTTATTTATATAAAACAGATTTCTTTCAGTGTAAGTATTTACGCATCATAATATTTCTGTATCAAGCATTGTCTACATCAGCGTGTTTTGTTCAACAGGCAGAAAATATGTTAGCAGCATTATATGTCTATCCCTAGATCGGTAACATAGACTGTCGTGAAATTGTTGAAGCGAAATTTCCTGGTGTTATTAATATAATGAATTAAAAAGGTTCACACTTTCTCATGAAGTTACTTTAATAAGCACTAGCATACAAGCTCTTAACATGTGTAGTTATTAACAAAAGCAAATAATATACTCCATGTAACCATGTTATTTAAGATTTAAAACTATAACAAACGTTAAGCTGACAAAAATATTTGCTTTTTCGAGCGAGGTTGAAAACATTGATCACAATGACCTTTTGACAGCTACCAGAATTACATGAGACGCCTATTCCTCCAGTCAAATATCTTATTACATGTAGCTATTTATTATCATTTATGCTGGCGCCTAAAGAAAACATCATTACCATTATACATAAACTGCTGCAAACAGTGCCGCTGCTGTAGCAGTGGCAAATCCATTTACACTCAGCATAACTTGCATGATGATGCATAGCTCGTATCATCGTTGGGGCGTTGTACTCTTGGCAACCTAGTGCCATACTCGTGCGTATTGAAGTAAACATAGATTGACACTGTACGTGGTTGACTGTCGTACCCAAACTGTGGAGATCTGCACAATCTCAAGATGTGCAGCGGATTGCGCCTGCCTAAACTGCGATTCCCAGTTTGCTGACCAATTCAAGATTGGGCCAAACTGAAACACGTCGGTGATTCAACAACGCCCTCATAGCGATCAAGTGCGTGGCGTGACGTGGTGGAAAACTAGGAAGATATTATATCTCATATTATCCAATTAATATTATAATCATTAACCATTTAGACAAAGGGCCAAACACATTGAGGAAGAAGCCGTATACGAACCGTATAGGTTATGCATATAAACATTTAAATCTTAATAATCATATGTGTGCATGTCGCAAGCTGTTTACCTCTGTTGCCCAATCTTCCAAGATTGTTGCCCAAACTGCGGGATACGCGAAATTCCAAGTTTGTGCAAGCATTCCAAGCTTTGGGACACAACATTACTCAGTTACCTGTGACGTAATTTATTCCTCAGCGAGGTCAGAGTAACATTACTTACATACTCGGTCGCGCAGCAGTGTAACAAGACTAATGCTTTCTCCATGCCGTCACTGGCACAGGAAATATGTTGATGCCAGATCTGCTGGCTCAGCAACTTCCAGATGAAGCGAGCCTGACAAACCAAAATC